TTGCTCTTGTCACCCAGGCTGGAGTGCAGGAGCGTGATCTTGGTTCAATCACTTGAACAGCAAACTCCTCCTCCTGGGTTCAAGTGATTTTCCTGTTTCAGCCTCCTGAGCAGCTGGGATTGCAGGTGCCCAACACCACACCCAGTTAGTTATGAATTTTCAGTAGAGATGGGGTTTCACCATGTTGGCCAGGCTGGTCTTGAAATCCTGACCTCTAGTGATCCACCTGCCTCTGTCCCATAGTGCTGGGATTACAGGCATGAGCCACTGCACCAGCCTAGAGACAGAATTTATTAACCCTTTCAACAGAAAGAATTCAGTAACACCCCCCACCCCCTACTCACCTCCACTAGCACCATTATGCTCACGCAGCAACTCTCCTCTCTGCTTCTAACCCTCCTTTTACTGCCATGAAATTGTTTTACTCTCTTTGGTTTTCTATACGTTTATTCATCTATTCTGGTGCCTTATAATCTGTAAACCAGAATTTCAGCTTTCTCGTGATTCCTGTTTCCTCCTGGCCTCTTTGGGTGCATCTTTTCAGATTCTACTCTACCTACCAATTGCTCAATTCTATTGGTTTCCGGAAGATACAGGGCAAGAAAATCCCATAACGAGGCTTTGAAAACAGGAAAAGATTTCGAGATAGAGAAGAAAGATGTGGCATTTCTTGGACAGAAAAACATACATTAAGATATTTTTGGGGCAGGAAAACGACTGATTCACCAAAGCAGCAGAAGGTGTTAAACAAGAGAAAAATAAAGTTGAAAGGTAGAGAGTCACTGGTTACAGAAGCTTCGGAAGTTAAAGATATGTTGAAGGCTTTTAAGCAAAGCACTCAGTTGGCCTCTTCATTATTTTTATAGCCAAAGTCAGCTTTGTGTGAACCCTTCTCTTTCTTTTACCTGAAAGCCAATATTTCTTGTCCCTAGTCTCTCTCCACTTGTTCTGTCATGCCAATTCTCAGTAAACCCTATGAGGCTGGAAATCAGAAGCTAGGGGCAACACTCACCTCTAAGACACCAGTTACCATTGTCCTGTGAGAAGTCATACCCGCAGTGCTCAGCCCTATCAGACTCAGTGTCCCCATTTTATAAGAAATCTGTCTATAAATTTTCCTTCACTATCTTGAAATAGGATGTGTCTACATACCTAATTGCTATGGGTTGAATTGTGTCCCTCTAGGAATTCATATATTGAAGTCCTAACCTGTAATACCTCAGAATGTGACCATATTTGGAAGCAGGGCCTTTAGGTAATTAAAATAAAATTAGGTCACTAGAGTGGGCCCTAATCCAGTTCTAGGGTGTCCTAAGGAGAAGAGGAAATTTAGACAGAGACAAGTACAGTGAGAAGGTGACATGGAGACACAGTGAGAAGACAGCAATGGAGGCCTGTCCAGGAGACAATCCCGGAACAGATCCTTCTCCTTACAACCCTCAGAAGAAAGCAATCCTGCTGACATCTTGATCTCAGACTTCCGGCCTCCAAAACTGCAAGATAAGACGTTTCTGTTGTTTAGGCCACTTGGTCTGAGGTACTTTATTATGGTAGTCTTAGCAAACAAATACACTAATTATATATAATGCCTTTATTATAACATAAAGAATACATAAAAGGAGTGTAACTTACCGTAAAATATATACAGTATTTCCATATGTAAATGCTCAAGCGCAACTGCACCAAAAGACATAATGCTTACATCAATACTCTGAATGCAATCGCTATAAATCACTGTGGAGTGATGGCACAAATGCAGGCTGACACAGCGTGCGGTGTTGGCAACACAAATACAAACCCTTAAGCAACATAACTGTTGGCACATAATTTTTGTGAACGAGTCTTGGTAGAGTTCCAAACAAAACAAATAACAATCTTCCCTCATTTTACATGGTAGTCGTATTCCTGGAAAATTCAAGAAATACATTGTATTTATTTGTAACACAAGGATAGATTCTAGGTAAAGACAATTATAAGTAGGTACTTCATCTACATGAATGTCCTGTAAGACATTTGAAAGTCACATACAGTTCTTCATCTTCCTGTACATGTTGCAGAGCGTCGGGATGCCTAGCATCCCTGACCCCCATCCCTCCATGCCAGGACAGTGTCATCATGACAACCAAAAATGTCTCATTTCCAGAATATTCCCTAAAAGGGAGTATCACCTTTGAGATACAAGAAGAGAAAATAAAAGATGTGTAATTTGTCGCTATCTTTTGGTGCAGGATCAGCCCCACCCTCCTCCGTATCAGAACTCTGCCTGCCTGGAGGAAGATAACTGGAGTCTTAGTCACATGGGACTACACAGCAGGTGACTTCCAAATTGGTTTTTAACACTGCCTTGGGCTTCAGGTGGTGAAAGGCTCCTTGGTTGGTTTGAACTTCAGAGGCCTCAAGCTACTCCAAGTTTGGTGAAATCTGGCCCTTGTGGCCATACCTGTCTCTGGATTATTCTGTGTTTTGTGTGTATTTGGGAGTCAGAGGGTGTTGAGGTGATCCGTAATTGCTGTGATAGCCCCAGAGACTCATCCTGACAAATCCCACTGTTGACTCCCTACTCCTGTTCCCAGACTGTTGACCATTCATTGTTGGAGAGGTTCTACCAGAAGATGTGATTTCTAACCAAAAGCAGGTCCTCAACATTGCACCGGATCCTTTTATTCCACTCACCTCTACCCAGGCATGTTCCCTATGGTGTTCACTCTGTCTCTTCCATGCTCGTCAAGCATCTAAGTTCCACTGTGTTGTCTCATGCTCTCAATAATATTTTACTGAGACAATCAGTATTGTCCAGAAAAACTTTCCTCTCTTCTATCTCCAAGTTTCTTTTCCTCTTATATAACAGGAAAAAAAGTCTGCTAGTGCTGCCTGTTTCTCCCCCTTCCAAGGGAACTTGCTCCATTGATTAAAGAGCTTCAGTTCTTTCCTTTCAACTGCCTCCTCCCCTCATGTTTGCCTGAAGATGTCCCGTCTGAGTTAGAACCCTTTGGCTGCAAATGGTAGAATCCAGCTTTAACGTACCATGGCCAGAAAAAGGGATTTGGGCTCTAAGGAAACAGGAGTATCTCAAGAAACCCATAAGAATGCCCTGGGCCTCCGGAAAGAACTTGATCAAGAATTGCAAAGCCACCAGCATTCTTCTACCCACCTTTTTTTTGCTACCGTTTGCTTCATTTTTCTATTTCCTGTACACTAACTTCTTGTGGCTTCCTGTCCACATGGGTGGAATTCCAGTTCCAGGGGACCGACCCCAACTGGTCTACTTAGAATCAGGTCCAATCCCCTGGCCACGGAATAGGGGCATAATAGGGACCAAATTGATCTTCCCGCCTGAAACAATGAAACAACAAAATACCTGAAACAATTGGTTTGGGACATGGATGTCAGGTAGTGCAGGACAGTGATCTTTGAAAGAGGGGAAACAGGTGAGGTGAGCCTTAGGCACACAGATCACTGTAGGAGTTTCCAGGCCTTCCCAGTACAACGAAATGGAGGCCAGGAAATGGTCAACTTGAGCTGAGAAGTCCGGGAAAGAGTGGCTAGACACAGCAGAACAGAGTACCAGAAGGAGAGGGCTGGAGAGGAAGAGAGAGTGGAAGAGAGAGAGTGAGAGGGAGAGAGCCCTTTGGAGATCATCAGAATCTTCATGAGTACTGATCGCTGTATGCCTGAGAGGAAACTACTTGAATCACAGAAAAGAATCACCTGAAAGGAACAGAGGGAACAACAATCCTTGTAGCCCTCACAAGGTTGAAATGTGTTTCCAATGGTCAGAATGGTAAGCTCTATAATTTACAAGTATTGGGTAGAACAATTCGAAGGTATTGCCTCAGCAAAATTCAATCCTAAAGGCTACTCTAGTCCTGCCTAATAAATATTAAAAACAAACCTGAAAGATTCATACTGTTTGCAAGGAACTTAACTTGTGTCCCAGTACAAAGCTCAAGAGTATTTATAGTAATGCAGAAACATCCAGCAACGAACAAGGTAAAATTCATGACGTCTGGGATCCAATCAAGCCCCTGGTCAAGGGAAGGAAGTAGAAATGAAGAGGAAGAAATATGCTCTATCTTGTACATTTTACGAATATTATAATCGCCTCCTCTGCCACTGTAAGGCTATTCTTTTTCTTTATACATCCAAGCACTGTATAACTTGTTACAATAAGCATACATTATTATTGTTATTTTAAAAAAGGCTTTGTGAACAAGCCAATCAAGAAAATGGAAACATAACCAAAAAGGAGACAAAAGAAGTTCCTACAGCACATCAAAACTGACAAGGGCTCTTTCTCCCTATTTCCACTGCCTTTTTTTTTTTTTTTTTTTTTTTTTTTTTTTTTTTCTGAGACAGACTTTTGCTCTTATTGTCCGTGCTGGAAAGCAACGGCGGATCTTGGCTCACCGCAACCTCCGCCTCCAGGTTCAAGCCACTCTCCTGCCTCAGCTTCCTGAGTAGCTGGGATAACAGGCATGCGCCACCATACCTGGCTAATACTTTGTATTATTAGTAGAGGTGCGATTTCTCCATGTTGGCCAAGCTGGTCTCCAACGACCAACTCGGCTTCTCAAAGTGCTGGGATTACAGGCGTGAGCCACCACGCTAGTACTTCCTCTGCCTCCCCGCCCCCCCCCCCGCCCCCCCCCCGCCCCGGCTGTCTCCCTCTCTAGAAAGTTCTCACTTTCTTTACCTTCATGTCTTGCGTTTCTTATCCTTTCTGGATTTTTTTTTAGCGGAACACAGAATGCAACTGCAGCGTGGCTAGTTGTTAAGGAGATTCTGTTTCTTTTTTTTCTTTTTTTTTTTAAGTGGGCAGATCTTAATGTTTCACATGTATTTCTCAAAGAAAGAGAACACCAACATCGCCTCACTAGTGTTCAACTGCCTTTTATTTGGCTCTCTGCTCTATTCCTTGGGTCAATGGCCGGGCGATTAAGACTCCACCAGACCTGATGTGTTTGCCCAGAACCCATCTGCCCTGTCCATGGGCAGGCAAAACCGCAACTTTCCCAAAATCTGCCTGGACTGAAAACATGTCTCACATCTCCTTTTCTTCCCTCTGGCGAAAGCTCTTTCTGGCATGGAGTGGGGACAGCTAAGGTCTCCAGGCCGCTAATGAAGTGAGGGAAAGTAGAGGGGAGTCAGCCGAGCGGGAAGAAAGCGGACGACGGGAGCGGGAGGAGAGGTAGACGACGGTCCAAGATGGGCGGATAAAAGGAGCAACCGCTCAGCAGCGAGAGGGAGAGGGGAGAGTAAGGCGCCCAAACACCATGTGGACAAGGGGAGGAGAGAAGGCAGAGGTGGCGCGCGAAGGCTGAGCGCCCAGTCAGCCAGAGCCCAGATCCGAAGAGCAGAGCCGGTGCAGAGGGGTCCGCGGGCTCTGGGGGTGCTGGACCCGTGCAATCCGAGAGCAGATTGGGGCCTTCGCGAGCCCCTCCCGGCCCCTGCCCGCGATGAGCGAGGCCAGCCGGCTGTGCTCGGGCTACTACAGCCTCAACCAGAGCTTCGTGGAGCCCTTCCAGTGCCCACGGCGCGGCGAGGGGGCTGCGCTCCGGTACTGCTGCGGCTTCGCCGACCTCAAGTACTGCTGCAGCGAGCCGGGCAGCTACTTCCCCTACAAGCACAGCTACATGTGGAGCCTCAGGTGGGCTGAAAGCCCGCGCGTGCGGCGGCTGGCCGGGCCCGGGGCTAGGGAGGCGACCAGCGGAGCCGCGCCGGGGCCAGAGAGGTCCTCCGCGACCCAGCAACCTACCCTGGGCTGGGTTCTTATGGAAGGACGCGGAGCCTCTGAGGGCGGGTGAAGGCAGGGAGAGAAATCTCGTCGGGCTCGGAACTCCCCCGGGAGCCAGGACCGGAGGCGAAGAGCGCGCCGGAGGAGCGCAGGCTTTGCACCCAGGGCGCACTTGAGGCCCGCCCGGCTGGCCCCGCTGGGTTCCCTGCCTGCCTCGCGGGAGCCGACTGCTCTCCCCTCGCCGAGGACCAGTTCTAGGCTGGCAGCTCTAGAGGTGGAGTGGGAGGACAGGCAGATAACCCAAGGGGAAGGTTTAAAATCCTCTTTTTGGTTTGTTTCTTTGTTGTATTTGAAGAGAAAGGAGGCTCCTTCGGGGCTCTTTTTACTACATTAACAAGGACCAGAGTATTTTATGACCCTTTGAGGAGTGTGAAGGAATTGGCTGTATTCTTAAAAAAAAAAAAAAAAAGTATATATATATACGCGCACACACACCCTTTAAATTATATATATGTATATATATATAAATTGTGTGTGTGTGTGTGTGTGTGTGTGTGTGTGTGTGTGTGTGTGTTCCTGAGGGCCTGTGCAAACAACTGGGCTTTACGACTTGCCCTTTTCCGAGGATCTGACCCTGACTCTGGAGAGAATTGAGGAGACACCATGAAAGGTACAGCTTTTGGTTGCTATGAATACACACACACTCTGTAGAACAGGACACCCCCTTTCTCGAAACCTGAGAGCTATTTGGCTATTGCTGAAATGTGAAGGGGCTTTCTAAGGTCTTTCTTGTAAAGGGGTCTTTCTCGTTTCTTTTTCCTATAGCGGCAATTTTATTTTACTTATTCCAGCTAGTATTGATGTAGACATTTTCATTATGAATTGCTTTTCCTCCTTCCACTCTGAAGGACAGCAAACTTTAAACTTTATTTTTCATTTTGCTTGGAGAATGAATAGGGTCGGACAATCAAGGAAAGAGCTCCCACCTTAAGTTGTTTTGTACATATTCATTAGTTTATGAGATTGGAAGAGATTGACTCTGTTAGTAAGAGATAAAGTATTATGATTATGTCTCCCATTTCCTACATGACTCAGAATTTAACATACATGCCAAGTCTATAGCAAATGACCGTTACTTCTTGGAGCAATAAAGTATTAATATATTATTGTATATTGCAAGCATCAAAAAGTCTCAAAAAGAATGCCTATCTTCCAGTAAGTTCAACTCACAAAGTTGTATTTTGCTGGAGAGGGGCAAAATGTCAGAACATAGCAATAGCTTATTTTTAGTAGATTACATGGGGAGGAAATCTGTACTGCACTGGTTTATTATCCTGACTTTTGGAAAATAATATAGTAATCTATCTCTGGGTCATTGGAGGCATTAATAATGGCAGAAGCACCTCCAACAGGGGCTGGCAATTCCTAAGTCAAACTCAATTGGAAAATGTGCCTGAGATTCTCATATCCCTGAATATCCAAAATGACAAGCAACAGAGGACATAAAACCTTCCTAAGACTTACAAGGGCATAAAGGAGTGAACAGCTTGCTGGGGTCTTCATTCAGCACTGGCAAAATGGACAGTGCAGCTTCATTCCTGAGAAATAGAAAAATCACTTCAACTGATGTTGACAGTTGACAGTGTTAAACCTGGGGTTTCTGTGAGTTATTGAGCTCTGAGAACACAATAGAGCGTAAATTTATTAGAGCTTCCTTTCACTCCTGTTCTTTGCTCTCCACTCCTAATTTAAAATGGTTCAACTGTGAACAGTCACTAGCCCTTGTTCTGAGATTCTATAGTGGCCGGAGACAGGCACAGCTGTGGCTATCACAAGGTAAGTGAACTTCCTAAGTTGGAGAATTGCTGCATTAATGTGACAGCAGCTTCAGACCCTCTCTCAAAGCTTGTAAAGCAACTGCCATATGGTGCTGAGGAAAGGATAATTCTTCCTTCCCTGTGCCTGGCCCCCTCCCATCTTTTCTCCTCCTATGACTCCCTGTGTTCTTAGGATTTTCCTTGGAAACCTTCTCCCAGGACGTAGGAAAATAAGGCCTGTTGAACAGGGCCATACATGAGTGGCTATTTAATAAGTATTTATTGAAATGAATATTTTAGGAGCTCCATCTTCACCAGGAGTTTATACCTAGAGTGCATGCATAAAGCAACATTTCCATAAAGTGAACCGTGACATTGAAACTGTTTGTCAGTATTATGAAAAACATTCTTTTTTAACAGAAAGCAGGGATAGCATGCTTTGTTTTTGTTTTTTTTTTTTCAAATTGCATGGTCTGGATTTTTAATCTGTACACTGAAAGCCCACACAATGTATGTGGAAGGTAATTAAACTGACAATTTTGCTTTCAAATAGACTAAATTACTTTTTTACTTTGAAGATTTTTTTTAATAATCAGGTTCTTGTTTGAAGAATCTTTCCAGATGTCTAGCCTCCTATCTGCTCTGTGCACCAGGTAATATTAACTGAGTGCATTACATTCCCATGTGTCTGTGTATAGTGAAGTGATCCTAACCTTCCATGACACTTAAAATGCACAGAAGTTAGGTTTGCTGCAAACAGATATAAAAGAGGAGTCGCCAAACATAGGGAATCTACCTTTTAGATGAGAGCACATCCAATGAGAGCACCACAAGTTGAAATATATAACTCTACAGTGACTCTAGCCATAAAATTCCCCAGCCTTCACTCATCTATAGGGCTAATGGAACTGGGTTGACATTAAACCAAACATAAAAATCTCTCGAAGTCTGACTTGATGTGAGTGGTTCAGGAGGCAATCTGTTCTTTGCAGGGGTGCTCTATCTCCTGAAATCAAGAGCAAGTGGAGTGAGCTTAGCTCTTTACTTTCAGTTCTGTTCTCCTTCCTGCCAAAGCAACAATGCTCCTGGCATCCCCGGTCAAGTTCTCCCTTCCCTCCCTTTTGGTACAGGTCAAACTTGTCAGGGTCCTAATCTCAGGGAAAGAGCAGAAACCTAAAGGCAAGCCAGGAAGATAATGAAGAAAAGGGTCATTACTTTTCAATGATGTATGTTCCAAATAGAGGTAGATCAGTCAGCAGTCAATTATTATTTATTTCCATTTATTGAACATTGTCTACAAGCTAAGCTCTTAAACACTTTAAATAAGTGTTTGCAACACTACTGTGAAGTCAACAGAAGTATCTGTTCTTGAGTAAAATTGATTAAAATCTATTTATAGATTACAATCTATTGGTAGATTTTAATTAGAACAAAATATGGCTCAAGAAGTACATTTTAGCATATTAGTTTTTCAAGATTGTTTTTTCCCCCAAGCTCTTTTCCCATTTAGTAGTATTAAGTTCACAGGCTTATGAAAACTGTATTTCTCAAATGATTAAACTTATAGGTAACTGCATCAGACGGAATCATTACAAATTTAAGGTGGAGCAAATACAATCAGATACACATTTTATTTTTAGAGAAAAATACAAGGGCTTCTTCCTTAATGCTAGAAGTGATTAACATCATGCCTTTTTAGAAAGGAAAAACTCAAACTGAACATGAACTTTATATGAATTTCACAAATACCATTTTCCTTTCATTCAAATTGTTTTCTCCTTTTTTTAAGTAATAGTTTTGGCTTTGTATATCAACAAATGGCATTTCACATATGTCTTTAGTGCTTTTGCAGAAACAAATATTTTTCTATTCATCATGTGTTGGTGAACCTGAGCATTCCTTCTCAAATATATTAATAATAGAGGGTTATTTGATGGAGATGTTTTTGAATTATCTTTAGAGAATCATGTGACCTTTAACCTATAATATGAACATATGATCTTCCCTATTAATAGTAATTTATAGGCCTGCCAGGCACAGTAGCTCACGCCTGTAATCCCAGCAGTTTGGGAGGCTGAGGTGGGCAGATCACTTGAGGTCAAGAGTTGGAACCCAACCTGGCCATCATGGAGAAACCCCATCTCTTCTAAAAATACAAAATTAGCTGGGTATGGTGGTACATGCCTATAATCCCAGCTACTCTGGAGGCTGAGGCAGGAGAATCACTTGAACCCTGAAAGCGGAGGTTGCAGTGAGCAGATCAGGTCATTGCACTCCAGCATGAGCAACAAGAGAAAATTGCGTCAAAAAAAAAGTAATGTATAGGCCAGGTATGGTGGCTCTCACCTGTAATCCCAGCACTTTGGGAGGCCAAAGCTGGCAGATCGCCTGAGCTCAGGAGTTCGAGACCACCCTGGACAACATGGTGAAACCCTGTCTCTACTAAAATACAAAAAATTAATTGGGAATGATGCGTGCACCTGTAGTCCCGGCTACTCCGGAGGCTGAGGAACAAGAATCACTTGAGTCCAAGAGGCAGAGGTTGCATTAAACCAAGATTGCACCACAGCACTCCACCTTGGGCTGCAGAGTGAGACAAAAATCTCAAAAAAAAAGAAAAAAGTAATGTATAAATTTAAAAGGGCCTTGAAAATCTTATAGAGAAATATAAGAATTTGGTGGTGGGAAAAGGTGAGCTGTAGATTTCAATCAGTTACTGTTTATGCTAAAATAAAATTTGGTTATGAATGACTGAGAACAGGAGCTAACAATATATTTTCACCTTCTCTTTAGTTTAACCAGTGTAAACCACTTTGTGTGACATATGTTTTTTTCTGTTTTCCTCAGCATTGGTGCCTTGATTGGATTAGGAATTGCTGCCCTTGTTTTACTTGCCTTTGTCATCAGTGTCTGTGTCCTCTGCTATTTATTTCTGTATACAAAGCCTCAAAGATTAGACACCGGCCTTAAGCTTCAACACTTAGAGGCATCTTCCACTCAAGAAGGTAATCAGTATCTATTATTTGTTACCCATTACCTGAACTCCATCCAAAAGAATAACCTGTACCTGGGTAATCATACTGTTAACAATGAATGCTTTTTAAAAATTGAATCAGGCCTTAATGATGAAATACCTTAGGGAAATTGTGCTTAGGGAAAAATAGCAGCAGAATGCAATTATTCTCATGAAAATTAAATCATTGCTTCAGTAAATCCACTTTAAATATATTTATGTTCCTTCCAGTTATTAAGATTTATCCCCTTGAAATTTCTAAAATGTTGTTTTTAAATGGAGCCAAAGAAGTCAAATAAATAGGGGAACCCAGTATTTGTTAACTTATTCTCCAAACTAAATATTTGCTCACTCTAGATTGGCTAGTCAGTGGTCAGTTAAGAATTTATTTGTGTGTCTACTATGTACAGAGTTCAGGGAAGGCATAGGAAATAATTCAGAGGCATATAAGAAATAGAAAAAATAAGTAGAAAACTTATTGACTAAATTGCAAACTAGTTAAAATATTGGGATGTGTATGTGTGTAGTGTGGCTATAAAGTAGAAATAAATGTTTATTTATGGTTTGTGGAACTAGGTCCTATTATTATCTTAATCAAGTGCTATATAAATGCTAGTTGTTACTATTGTGAAACTCAATCACAACAAATGAAAACTGTTGTGAATATAGTTTTCTATAATGTATTAAAAAGTACTAATTATAAATTTTATTGTGAGATACACATATAAACAAGTCTAGAATATATATTATAGAATATATACGGAATGTATAGAGAATTTATATAAACTTAGAATATAAATTTAGGATTTATATATGTATTTAGAATGACAAACAAGTGCTCACTTGCTTCCGTGTAAAAATAAAATGAAAATCTTTATGTTAAAAAAATTGAGAAAAGTCCCCACCCATATACTGTATTTTAGCTGCATCCTAGAACTTCTCATATTATGGGGCATCTGTTCTGTGACCTTATCAAATACATCACCACTGTGTGATTGCATTAGCTCTAGTTCACTTCTCTGTAGAGGAGACCTCTCAGATGGTGTCCTGTGTCGCAGAACAAGGGGCCAAGATTCCTTGAAAGTCCTCTTCCTGAAGTACTGTTTGGAGACTGCATGGCCAAATTGACAGGTTGTCAGCTGAATTTAGTACAAATGATTTAGGCCCTTTTCTCCACTGGAAGTCGATTAGTGATTGCCAAATAATCAGATTGTAAAATCAATTTTTGTCTCAATTGCTTAGGTAATTTAGTTGTAGTTCTTAAATATGACTGTGCCTAAGAATCACATAGAGAGCTTGTTAAAAACACAAATTACTGGCTCTGCATTTTAAAACAAGTAGCTCCTCTTTCTGCTTCTGCCCTTGTTCCTCTGCTGTCTGCTCTTCAGAGCAGCCAGAGCAGACCTGTTAAAACACAAATCTGGTCCTGTCAGTCCTCTGCTCAAAACAGTAATCGCTTCCCATCTCTTTCAATGGAGAAAACAGTCTTCACCATGACCTAACTTTTGTGGTCTGCCCTTATATTTCTTTTTTTTTTTTAATTGCATTTTAGGTTTTGGGGTACATGTGCAGAACATGCAAGATAGTTGCATAGGTACACACGTGGCAGTGTGTTTTGCTGCCTTCCTCCCCTTCACCCACATTTGGCATTTCTCCCCATGCTATCCCTCCCCAGCTCCCTGCCTCCGCTGTCCCTCCCCTATTCCCCCCAATAGACCCCAGTGTGTAGTGCTCCCTTCCCTGTGTCCATGTGTTCTCATTGTTCATGACCCACCTATGAGTGAGAATATGCGGTATTTCATTTTCTGTTCTTGTGTTCATTGCCCTTATATTTCTTACCTTCACATGCCCAGCCTCATTGGCCCCTTTGCTATTTCTTGGAATTCCTGACTCAGGGCTTTTGCGCATGCTTTCATTATTGTATAGGATGCTTTTCTCTCAGATATCTGCAGGACTTACATTTTCACTTTCCATCCTTACTCAAAAGTTACCTTCCCAGGAGTTCTTCCCTGGTTACCCTATCTGCATTTTTAATTCCCTTTCAACATTTAATAACCTCTTCCTGCACTGAATTTATCTTAGGTATTTTCCACTAACATATTATATACTTTACTTACCTGTTGTCTATCTTTTGCCCACTCCAACTAGAAACTAAGTTCCAGGAAAGTAGGAATTTTGTCTTGTTTGCTTACTACTGTATCCCCAGTGCCTAGAACACGTAACACATATTCCATGAATTAATTGAATGGGGTAGCACTGCATATATGTGATCAAAGGAGCATAATTTGAGAAACACTGACAAAGTATTGTCACTGTCACAGTCATAAAGCATTCATCGATTGCCTCTATACAATGCACTGTGCTAAATAAAAATTGGTTATTTTCCAGATTTAGCTTAGGTATCTCCAAAATTTTTTGTCACATTGACTTTGGAACCTAGCAACAGAATTCGTTGGTTTGTTGTTCCAAGTATTCTTGTTGCTATTGAGCGAAGAAGGTCCATTATAGTTAGATGGGACTGCTTACTTGCAAAGAAATATCCTAATTCTGCCCCTCTCACAAATATATTTTGTAAAATTGGCAAATCAATTCAATATACCTTTCCTGAGTGTGTGCTAGTGGTAAGGCAGGATTTTACGTGATCAGTGACTTCCTGCTGCTTTCATATGGGGTGATTTGGGTCCCTTGCATTGATTTTAACCAAATCAGACATAGTGGAGAGCCCAAAATGAAATAGTTCAAATATCACTAGAATGGGAAGAGAAATTGTTTGTATTTGAAAGCGAGCCTTTGATGTGATATTTAAACATTGCTGCATCCTTTGTTTTTTTTTTTTTTTTTGGAAGGAAAATTTTCATTGTTTTATTTTTATTTACAGAGAACAGTGTAAATTTAACCCAGTTTCGTGGCAAGCTCTTTAGCTTTTGCCTTCTCTAGCTTTGCGATGTGAGCCACAGACTTGGGACCCAGGACATTGCCTCCCCAGTGACGGCGGATCTCATTGTATCTGTCATTGTAATTGGTGCAGATGGCTTCCACCAGCTTAGCCAAAGCACCTTTGTCTTCTGCATTAACCTGTGTGAAGGCTACAGTAGTGCAGGTCTTCCTGTGGACTAGACGTCCCAGTCTTGCCTTCCCCTTGATAATGCAGTAAGGGACTCCCATTTTTCGACACAGGGCAGGCAAGAAGACAGCCAGCTCAATGGGATCCACGTCGTGTGCAATCACCACCAGCTGAGCTTTCTTGTTCTCCACCAAGGTGGTGATGGTGTTGACCCCTGCTCGAAGGACAGGTGGTCTCTTAGTGGGGACGTCCCCTTTGCCAGCCGCTTTCTTCTCGGCCCGGGGCCAACAGCCTCTGCTTCTTCTCTTGCTTTGTCTCTGGTCCATACTTGTGGGCCAGCTTAAGCAGCTGAGTAGCTGTTTGGCGGTCCAGGGCCTGGGTGAACTGGTTAATTAATTGCAGGAGGCACTTTCAGCTGCTTGTAGAGGATGGCTCTCTGCCCCTACAAGCAAGTAAATATTACATCAGAGGAAAATTGGTTTCACCAGTTAGCCATTTTCTTTCAAAACTCACAGGTCCACCTCTCAATATTTTAGGTTAATTTTTACAATTGAAACTGTTTTCATTAAAAGAAATTTGCATGGCCTAAAGGGAAATGTATTCTTGTGTATATACTAAGTTGACTTAAGACACTGAATTTTGTTTTCACTCTGTATGTAGCGGGGCCATTTGACAAAGCGGGTGAGGTCTCTTTTGGGCTGGATGTCCTGTCCAATACCAAAATTTTTAGGCCATTTTTCAAACAGGGGATTCACCACTTTCTTAGCCTCCTGCTTCTTCACCACAGCAGGGGACGGAGCCACCTTCTTCCCCTTGGCCTTCTTTCCTTTCGACATCTTGAGCAGCAGAAAGAAAGAGCTGCATCCTTTGTTAAATATACATGTTCCATCCAATGATCCTACTACCTAGCAATGGATGCCAGTGTTGTAGCTATTGAAAAAGCAAGTCTGGGGCTTTATTGTATTTAAGGAATGTCTTGAAGGTTAGGAACATAATAAAATATTTGAATAATAAATCAAGCAAGTAAATATTACATCAGAGGAAAATTGGTTTCACCAGTTAGCCATTTTCTTTCAAAACTCACAGGTCCACCTCTCAATATTTTAGGTTAATTTTTACAATTGAAACTGTTTTCATTACAAGAAATTTGAATGGCCTAAAGGGAAATGTATTCTTGTGTATATACTAAGTTGACTTAAGACACTGAATTTTGTTTTCACTCTATAAATGACAAGAGTCTAAAATAGTCTAATATTTTCCATGGCATATCTTTATTCTATTGAATTTCATTACAATTTAAGGCTCTGACATTTGGAATGGATCTTGAACAAAGCAGGTCTCTGGTAGTGATTGTAGACTCTAGTTGGACTATCCCTAGGGCTAATTCTGTACTGAGGACTTACGGCTAAAGCAGTTGATTGGTCTTTAAGTTACGTTCCATAACCATTTTCTTCTTTTTAAACTTTTGTGTTTCAGGTTATGCATGCTTCAAATGCCAATGTTTAAAAGAATACCATCACTTGTAAGTTGTTCTGTATAGGACATACAGCTCCTGAGCAAAAGATGGCTGTGTGAAAGGCATCTTTCTGAGTCCACACTCTGAGGGTGAGGGCTCATTCCATAGGTTGTGAAGGAATTAATGGCTAATTGAGGGGCAACTAAAGGGGGTGAATGTCTTAGAGCCCTGTTTTTCAAACTTTTCCACCAGAGAATCCTTCGAGGTATATTGTTGTCCCTCAATATCCATTGGGATTGATCTCAAAACCTCCTGCAAATACCAAAGTCCTCAGATGTTCAAGTCTCTGATATAAACTGGCATAGTATTTGCATTTAATTACGCATATCCTTCCACTTTATTTATTTTGAGATGGCGTCTCGCTCTGTTGCCCAGGTTGGAGTGCGGTGGCACAATCTTGACTCACTGCAAC